CAATTCTAAAATGATTCCAAGCAGCGTGCACGAGGTGACAGAAATATAATACAAATACAACATATTATTAAAGTAATAAATCATTATTCAAAATCAGCAGTAAATCACTCATCCATCTGTGCCAAGAACCCACTATATTAAAACACTAATTATCCTCCTAAAGGACTTCTGAAACATGAGAGGTAGGAAAATGGGAATTACTTTAGCCTTGAACTGATAATCTGTCTCAAAGGAAGCAAAGCTACTCAGACCAGGCCTATTTCTTTTTGCCCCAAGATGTGTGGGGAGAAGGACTGCAGCAGTCGTTTCTTGGAGACTTAGACTTAGCCAGGATCTATCTGGGAGAGGCAGCCTTGTATATGCACAAAACATGCACTACAGGGTTTTGTACAAGCATCTCTAGCTGCATTTAAAACCACAGAGTTAGGGCAGCTCTCATATCAGCACACAAGCACAGGAGTTGCTGGATTTTGTATCACTTGAAGTGATCTTCAAGGAAAGCCCTATATTAAGTGATTTAGAGTAATCTAGATAAAACTAGCAAGAGTAATAGTGACCCTTTTCAGTGCTTCTTGTTCTAGGTGAAGCTGCAGCTGATACCCTAAACACTGCTATCCAAAGGCCTTTCTGATCATTGCTACTTTTATGTAGATCTTAAATGGGAAAGGGAAGGAGACCAAGCCTGGGATAACCATAATGGAGTACTGAAGGGCCTGATTTCTCCCCCTCAATTCCAGGCTGCTTCTCTCTTTGATTAGTTTCCATCCATTGTTTCTTGTCTTGCCTACTGGTGCTTTGGAGAATTAGTTGACCCCCTCTTCTTTGTTGCAGCCCCTCAAATACCGGAATACTGCTATCGTGTCACTCCTAGTCCTTCTTTTCGCTAGACTAGCCAAACCAATTCCTGCAACTGTTCATCATGTTTTGTCTCCAGGCCCTTATTGTCTTAGCTGCTCTTCTCTGCACTTTTTCCAAAGTCTCAACATCTTTTTTATAATGACCAAAACTGGATGCAGTATTCTAGGTATGGTTAACTAAGGATTTATAAAGCAGCACTAATATTTCACGTGATCTTGATTCTATGCCATTGTTTATACCACCAAGGATTGTATTAGCTTCTTTGGCTGCTGCTGCACACTGCTGGCCCATCCACTAGGACTCCAAGCTCCCTCTCATAGTTGCTGGTTTTGAACCAGGTTTCGCCTACTCTGTACTGTAATTTCTGTCAAAAATAATAAAATGCAATGATATTATGTAAGAAGTATTGATATTATCCCAATAACCTTAAACATATGGTTTGTGATTTTCATTTTAACACCATGATATTTTAAAATTGTATAATGAAATGTAAAATATTATTAATGATTATTTCTATGCATAATAGCGAGCATAAAAAAAGGAACAGGGAACCTTTTAAAAGGTTATTAAATTGATTCCCCACCTCTCACTGGTATTTATCAGTTTAATTAATGCTAATTCAGAAATGTTTAATAAGTAAACATGTGGAGTGTGATAACTTGGCAGTGGTGATGCTCTCAAATAACATGGTTTTAAGAGTGAGTAGGAATCAGACGGGCACATTTATTGATGAAATAAAATTAACCAGGATAATAAAAAATTTTAAAAAGCAAAAAACAAAGCTCCAAGAAGAAAGTGCATGAAAATACCAAATGCAATTCAAAGTGCAAAATATAAAAGCTGTTACATTATTATACATAAATATAAAATATTTATATAGTAAACATATTAAAATGTTATAGATAAATACTAATGGAAACTTCACTAGCAAAGAGAGACCAGGAAATTGGTCTTGGAAGCGAGGTAAAAAATTTAGAGAAAATGTCAACCCACTCTGCAGCCCTTTTAAAAAGCTAAATAGGCCATGTAACATTAGCAAAGAAACCAATACTAAATTTGCCAGGGTTGTCATGTCTTTATAACTATCTACAGTACGATACAGTCATACTTACAATTACTGTAGAACTCTGTATAATATAGACTGCTGTTTCTCAAAAGGATTGAAAGAGTAGAGAAAGATGGCCAAAGATCTCATTTTAAGAGGTAAAACAAATTCATGGAGGATATACAGGTAGTCCTTGACTTAAAACAGTTCTCTTAGTGACCATTTAAAGTTACAACAGCATTTTCACACATATGAACTTTGCAGTATCCCCATAGTCACGTGATTTATATTTGAATGCTTGACAACTAACTCACATTTATGATGGTTGCAATGTCCTGGGGGATCATGTGATCCCTTTTTGCAACTTTCTGACAAGGAAAGTCAATGGGAAAACCAGCTTCACTTAACAACTGTGTTACTAATTTAACAACTGCAGTGATTCATTTAACGAATGTTGCAAGAAAAGTCATAAAATGGGGCAAAACTCACTTAACCAATTTCTCACTTAACAACATAAATTTTGGTCTCAATTGTGGTCATAAGTTGAGGACTACCTGTATCTTAATTCTTACTCCTTTAACATCTAGATCTAATGGTATGGATGGTCCAATATTCAATGTACCCTTAATTGAGACTTTTTTATCTTAAGTTCCAATAGACATTTCCCACTGAACTCAGAATCAGAAGATGGATTTCTCCAGGTTTTATCCATAATCAATCAATTCCAGGACACCCAATACAGCCCAAAATTCAGTCCTCTATATCTGCTTTATTTAAGAACTATATTAACAATTCAGTTGGTTCTTCCCTGATGATAAAGCATAACTGTCATGGAAGATTTATGTCTCTTGTTTATCTCTTCCAAGTTCCTGTCTTATCTTTATGTTATGTTTTTTTTCCTTGGCTTCACACCTCTCATACCCTCTCCTATTTTGCTTTATGTTATGAATTCCAAATTTCTATCCTCTATTATGGATTCCAAGTATAACAAATCTGTTAGTGAGTACTAACCGTAATCTCCAACTGCTCTAAATATCCTCTAAGATCAGAGACAACATTTCTTCTGAAATGAAACCTATGAATGAACATCTTTTGGAACAATCTGCCCCTGATATATGACTGTCCTTTTAGAAAGGTAGTTAAGAATCAGCATCTTTCCATGAGTGAATTCCAGTGTAGGTGAATTGGCAATGAGGGGAGACATTAACCAAGGCAAACGCTGAAGAACCAAGATGGAACCTCTCCAGATAAGGAGAGAACTGGATATTACCCACGTGTGCTCCTCAAAAGGAAACCACAAGACAATGGTCTCCCACAGGTTTGAATGTATTCCATGAATGATCAGGTTTGAATGAACTCTATTCCCAGAGATCTTTAAAGAATGGATTCAGAGTTTAGCAGTTACAATGTCACAATGTTGTCTGTTTCTATGGATAGATTATGTCCACAATACATTAATGAAGGAATGACAAATGTGAAACAAATTTTGCCTGATATTAGAAGCAGAAACACTGGATAATAAAAAGCATAGTTTATAAGACAAAGAAATGACTAGCCAAGAGAATGATCTGGATAGGGACTTTCTACTGGAGATACAAAAGACGTTGGTTAAAGTTTGAAGATTAAATGGAAATACAAATGATAAACCAAGAGAAAAATCCAGATAACAACTTTTATTGGATTTACAAAAGAGATTGGCTGAAACCTCAAAGGAATCTTTGAGATGGGAAAAATAAAAACTGAAAAGGGAAAAAATTCTATGATAGCATCAGAATGAATTAAAGACCATGGTTGTTAGAAGTAAGAGGAAGGAAAATAAAAATGGATTATTTGACCAAGGTTAAAATAAGACATGTTTCTATAAAGCTCTGGGAACTCTTTTCAGACTTTTCATCAACACTAGGACTGAAAATTTGATGACTGATGGACTTGCATGGAGATAAGGCCTGGATAAATGCATTCCCAATTGTTTGAGTTGTTATGTATTTTAGATGGGTTGCCATTGTATTGTTTTATCTGGCTTTATGTATTATACTGATTTTCAATGGGTGGGGTATATTTTTGTTGACATTTGTATATACTGCCAAAGGTCATGGTGAGTTGGGTGGCACTGTGTGTGTGTATGTGCATGTGTGTGTGATAAATAAAATAATTGGACAGACAGGACAGACAAAAATTCTTCATGGTTCTATGGGATAAATTAATCAGAATTCCAATTTTCTGAAGATAAGATGAAATCAGTACTATGCATATACAATCTATACACCAGCCAGCAATTCCTCTTGTTGTCATTTCACATATAGCTCTGTCATGTTTAGCAATAGTAATAGTACTTAGACTTATATATTGCCCCATAGTGCTTTATATCTCTCTCTGGACAGTTTAAATGCCAGCATATTGCCACCAACAATTGGAGTCTTCATTTTACTGAACTCGGAGGGATGGAAGGCTGAGTTAACTTGGAACCCCATCAGGACTGAACTACAGACTGTGGGCAGAGTTAGCCTGCAGTACTGCATTCTAACCACTGTGCCACCAGGGCTCTTGTTCCAGGGCTATTTCTCCAAAAATATTCTCCAGAAGATTGGAAAATTATCCTGAGCCATTTTTAAAATGGAAAAATTGCCTTCACTGTTGGATTCATTCACTACATGTTCCCAGTTTCATCCCTCTAAAAAGTGAGAGTATGATTTCAATAATGATATTTGTTCTTAATCTTATTAAAAGATGAGGGAAGTATTCAATAAGCGAATGAAAATCCACAGCTTGTTTCCAATCTCTGAGCAAAGATATGGCTACTTTCAATTTCTAAGCAGGAGTGTGAGGTGTTAAAATTTCAAAAACTAAAAGCAAAATTTTGTATACTTTCTAGAAGAAAATACTATTATAATCTGATATTCTGAAAATACAAGCTGGAAAAATTCTGGTATCATTTTGTTTGCTTTTTAAAATCAACATAATTAATAATTAATCAAAACAATTACACTTTTCTAAGATTTTTTTTTAAAAAAAGAGAATAATAGTTTTGTAACACAAGTACATATAAATTTTCCTTTTCCTTTTTAGTTTCCTGTCCAGCATTATTCAGGAAACACATGTTGTAGTGATAATAGCTCTTTCTTTTGCTATACAGTTTTGGTTCTAAATCACTTCAAAAGGCAGAGCAATATTATCCATTTTATCCAGTTTTCCTTCAGAGATAATGCTCTCTTTTTACAAGTGGTAGATCTTGTTTCTGATTTACTACTTAAGCATTTTTACTATATAAAAAGCAGAATAATGTGTTACCTTGGCTAGATGTGTGTTGATCCACTTTGTGAAAGTCCGCTTTTGCACAGATTCTTGTTCATCTTAAAAAGGAAGAAAAAATGAAAAGTAATGATAAATTGGTCTTTCAGATACATTTCTCTATGTAAAGGGTCTTCAAAAATTGGCCCTTTTATGACCTGTGGACTTCAACTCCCAGAATTTCTCAGCCAGGCATGCTGGCTGAGCAATTCTGGGAGTTGAAGTCCACAAGTCATAAAAGGGCCAAGTTTGAATACCCATGCTCTATGTCTTGAGCAGACATAATCAATTTAGCTCCTTATGATGCATGTATGGTAAGAACAGAGGAAGATGGCACATGGCCCTCTGTAGTTTTTATGTCAGTACCACTACAGGTAGTCCTCAACTAATGACTGGTCACTTATAACAGTCTTTCCCAGAGCTATGTATGATTAAGTTATAATCATTGCACCTACCACTGTAGAGGCTGCAATGAGAAGAGGCTGCCCCAACATTCTGTGACTTGACATAGCTCTATGGCAGCCATTTTCTCAAACAGGGGATGTTAAAATATGTTAAAGGCTTTACTGTAAGCCTTTAAGCAAAATCACAACTGATTTAACTAAAGCTGCAGAACATTTTAGTTGGTCCTGTATCAGGCTGAATTATTTATTTTACCTTGCTTTTATTTAAGCTGAATAAACTATACCTAGGAGACTTTACCACATACTAAACAAATACCAAATACGCTGCAAAGCAGCTTATTGTATTATTTTTTTTAAAATATCAGGTAACAAGACATGAATAGGAGAAAATTATTCCAGCAACCAACAACTTGACACTGAAAGTTATTAAGCTTGAGATCTTAACATCCTGCTCAGATTTAGCTGTCATTCGTCAGAAAAGCACTTGCTGAGTTCCTCCATATAAGAAATATTGTTCTCATTCACAAGAAGCCCTATTTTGAGTTCCTTAAATAACATTTCCGTGTGTGATAATCAGCTTTTTATACACCATTTGATAGCTTCATTCCCTAGGATTGCTGGTACTTCAACTTCACTTTGAGATCAGACAAAGCTCTTTACATCCACAGGGGATGAGGCCAAGCTGATTTTCCTTGAAAAATTGGAATTTATCAGCTTATCCTCAGAATTCTGAGAAACACACTGTTTTCAAATTTTCTTTTGAGCAGAGCCAAAATAAAATTTACTTTCTGAAGCAGCTTGTTCTAATGTTACTGTCATTTTGATATAATGTCTGGAGGTTTTCCAAAACTTGGGCAATGTTATGCTATCCATCCTTAATTAACTGCTTGAAGGTCACAACAAAAATAAAGTGCATTTGAGGGAAGTATCCATCGCTTCTTTTCTCAGCAAAGTATATAAGTAGATAAAAGTAGATAAAACCAGTACAGAAAGCACGTGATTGGGACTTTGGCTAATTAAAAGGGTAAAATCATCATAACCATTTTCATTCATTCACTTCTGCAATTGTCCTCAGACTTTCCTTTCTTAAGCTCCCTATCTCTATCAAAACTGAAATCATTTGGTTATAATTTCAATAGTTAAGCCTATGCCTTACCCATGGTAGATTTTTTATGAATCTCAACTCTGATAAACATATAACTGATTCAGAGTGACTGCCTTAATGTATAATATCTCAGTGCATTCCCAGAGTTCAAAAGTCAAGTAATGAATTAAAATAAACTAACTGAACTAGGAGCATGCACAAAGAGGAAATCATCTTTGCCCCCTCCCCCAATTTATTTTTTTTTGTTTTTTCGGCAGACAATTACCATATTTAGATGTTGAATAGATACATTAAAATCTCCTTCTAGTCAAGCTTAGCTCTTTGTGTATGTAAGGACACTTCCACATACTTTTCGTGGAAACAGTATAGAAGTGATTTATTTATTTCTGGGATGTTGTTAATGTGATATTTCCTAATGGTCTCTCATCTAACTAAGTAGGTCTGGCTCTGCTTAACTTTCTGAAGTTCGCCAAAGTCGGTTGCAATGTCCACGAGTAAAATGCCTTCTATAATGGAGAACTTCTATTATAGGCAGTGCTCAACTTATAACAGTAGTAGAACTCGGAATTATGGTCATAAGTCTTCACATCATTAAGCAGGTCATCATGTGGCCACACCCAATGTTATGACCTTTTTTGCAGTAGTTGTTAAATGAATCCTTTTTTATCCAATGGGCATTTTTTGCCGGAACTGGAAATAAATGTCACAAACTGGCAAAAATCATCAGAAATTGCAGTTACGTGACCATAGGCCATTGCAAATGGCCCAAAGAGTCAGCTGATTGCCAAGTGCCCAAAATGTGATCATGTGGTTTATGTGGCCATCATAACTTCAAAATGGGTTATAAGTAGCTTTTGGGCAGGGGTCTGTTGTAACTTTGCATGATTACTAAGCAACCGGTCCTACATCAATAATTATCTGTAGAAAACACAGATTTTTTTTAGCATAGTTTTTAATGCTGTATAATTTCTGTATCCCAGTACAGATAGTTGATCCATGACCACAATTGAATCCAAAATTTATATATTGCTAAACGAGACAGTTAAGTGGATTTTGCTCCATTTTACGACTTTCCTTGCCCCAGCTGTTAAGTGAATCAATGCAGTTAAGTTCGTAATACATTTGTTAAGAGAACCTGGCTTTCTCATTGACTTTGCCTGTTAGAAGATTGCAAAAGGTGATCACATGAAAGAAGCTTCTTTCTCTTTCGGAGCATAAATAAAAAAAAACAAAAAAACCCCCTAAATTACTTTTTTTCCTGACCACACTGTATTTTCATTGACTTTGATACTTTGAAAACTGTCCTATAAACAGACTCTAAATCAGACAGAAGATTTTACCAAGGAAACCAGGGAAATTCCTTTCTAGGTGTTGCCATGACAATAAGCGTCTCTATCATTGCTTTCGTTCTTATTGCTTTTCAGCGAAGGGAGCAAGTTTCGCAGGTTTCCTTCCTGACTAATAGCACTGCATCCATAGCCTGTTCAGTTGATCAGGATCTCGATATAACTGGGCCCTGAAATACGCAGGTAAGAACTTAAAAAAATAGTTCTTGCCTTGATCCGATACCAGACCTTAATACTAGGGAGGAAAACAACAAGCCAATGAAAGGAGAATCTAGTAAATGACCCTGTCTAACAAAAATGAAACACAAGTATAAAAATTAGGTTCATATTTTATAATATTCATAATCATTTAACAAATATCTTCTATTTGAAGAATGGAATATCTAATATTAAAATAATCATAAATGCTTTATGTATAGTACATAATGTCGCACAGAATCGAGGCTTATTTTGGAAAATAATGACTGAACCAATAACTCATGTTCTGAAAACATTACACAATTATTTTCATAAGAAAAATAATTTTCTTAATTTTTTTAAACCCAATTGTAGCCCAACACTATGGTTCAATACAGATAGTCCTCAACTTACAAAAGTTCATTTAGTGACCATTCAAAGTTACAATGACACTGAAAAAAGTGACTAATGACCATTTTTCACAGTTATAACCTTTGCGGCATCCCCATGATCGTGAATCAAAATTCAGATGCTTCACAATTGGTTTATATATATGACCGTTGCTGTGTCCCAAGGTCATGTGATCACCTTTTGTGACCTTCTGACAAGCAAAGTCAAGGGGGAAACCAGATTCACTTAATAACTGGGTTACTAACATATCAACTGCGGTGATTCACCTAACAACTGAGGCAAGAAAGGTCATAAAATGGGGCAAACCTCACTTAACAAATATCTCACTGGCTCAAGGTTGACTCAGCCTTCCATCCTTCCGGGGTAGGTAAAATGAGGACCCAGATTGTTGGGGGCAATGTAAATATATATATACATTGTTTACTGGTGTACACCGCTTAGAGAGTGCTTGCACTTAAAGCGGTATATAAGTCTCATAAATAAATAAATAAAATAAATAAATAAATAAAATCTCATTTAATAACAGAAAATTTGGGCTCACTTGTGGTCGTAAGTCAAGGACTACCTGTATATCAGAGTGGAATGGTTAAAAGACATGAAACGGAAACTAAACATCAGCTGATCCAGAATGCAGTAGCACATAGGAGGCACTCCATGATGTACCCATTTAACATTGCAGCCATATGAGCTGCAATGGCCTCTCACTAGGCTTCCAGGTGCAGTTCACAGTGCTGGTTGTCCTACATGGCATGAGGCCAGTGACTTGCAGGAACACCTCTCCCCAATGGTTTCTGCCCATCCCAATAGATTCAGCAGAATGGGCATGCTCCGGGCCCCATTGCTGAAACAGAGTCACTTGGTGGGTCCCCAGAAGCATCCCTTCTCTGTTATGTGGAATAATTTCCCCTTCTCTGGCAGCCCCATGTCTGCTTGCCTTTTAGAAGGTCACAAAGATCTGGATCTTGCTCCAAGCAAGAATTATGAACCAAGATATGAATGGACTTAATGGACTTCTGTAGTGGGTTTATCAGTTATGAGACTTCAATGTATTTTTTTTCCCTGTAAAGGATTGTGACTTTGGTTCTGGTTTGTTCATTGCCTCAGTGCTTTGCTCAAAATACATAAAACTGTGCCAAGTCAGTGTTGATTTCTGACATCTGTCTGAATGAATCCCTGTAGATTTTTGGGGGGGAGATTTTGGAACTGGTTTGCTCTTGCCTTATTCCTACAGCTGAGGGAGTAATGGCCCAAGGTCATCCAGCTGGCTTCTTGTCAAAGATGGGACTAAACCGTATGGCTCCCAGTTCCCATCTCAGTGCTTTTATCATTAGACCACCTGGCTCTTAAATATACTAATATTGATGGCATTTTTACTAACTGTACAGAATATGATTGTCCCAGGAACAGTTTACTCTTTGAGATAAGATTGTAGGGTGGTGGAGCATTTTGAGTAAATTAGTTTATTTAATTTATAGTAAATCAGCACTGACTACATACATGAATATAATATTCATGCTGGTTTTACTCAGTGATTACTCTGGATATCTTCCAGCTTTCTGAAAACGAAACTTACTATGTAATATATTCACAACATAATAAAAAAATTGAGAAACTGCAAC